AGGGACTCATTCCAGGCTCCCCTGAAGCACCAGCCTCAATCCCATCCCACACACACACAAGAGCAAGCAGCAAATTTGTTTTTAGTATGGGGAAAAAACCCTGCCCTTCAGTGCTCAGGGATATGTGTGTTTCAAGTGAAATAATGTAAAACCAAAGATACAGGAAAAAAAAAAGTCTTGGAAGCCAAGGACTCAAATAAAATAACCACTTGTGCATACCTGAGCGGTAGGTAGCGCTTCTGGCCCGGGGAGGCTCACTTCTAGGGAGAAACTGTTTCCAGGGCACTCGAGCCTGCACCGAGCTGGAAGGGGCAGTGGCTGAATGCAGCCTGACTCTCCCACTGAGCTGTGTGTGCCCTGTCAAAAGATCTCCGGCACTCTCTAAGCTTTTTTAGAGATGGAGGCATTAGAGCAGCAATTTCTAAGAAAAAAAAAGCCCTATAAAACCCTACTAATAGGGCTGGGAAGGTGGCTCAGTGGTAGAGTGCTTGCCTTGCATGCCTGAGGCCCTGGGTTCAATTCCTCAGCACCACATAAGCGAAAAGAAAAAGCCAGAAATGGCGCTGTGGCTCAAGTGGTAGAGCGCTAGCCTTGAGCTGAAGAGCTGAGGGACAGCGCCCAGGCCCAGAGTTCAGGTCCCATGACCGGACCCAAAAAACAAAACAAAACAAAACAAAAAAACCCTACTAATGTACATGGCATTTAAGGAGCAAAGTTAGAAGCCCGTGCCGATGGCTCATGCCTGTAATATTAGTTACTCGGGAGGCTGAGTTTTAAGAATTGCAGTTCAAAGCCAGCCCAGCCAGTAAAGTCCAAGAGACTCTTCTGTTTCCAATTAAGCACCAAAAAAGGAGAAGTGGAACTGTGGCCCAAGGGGTAGAATGCTAGCCTTGAGCAAAAAAGCTGAGTTCAAGCCCCAGGATTAGAAAAAAAAAAGCATCTTATTATTATTAGTATTAGTATTATTATTTTGTGGGGCATGCTGAAGATGAAACCCAAGCCAAGCACTTAGCAGGGAAGTACTCTATCTTTGAGCTCCATCTCCCAGTTCAAGCAAAATCACTTCTTAAAGCCCCCAAATCACTGAGCTAGCAGGTAAAATATATCTTATGCTACGAAATACAGGCAAAATAATATTGCTTTCCTTTATATTAGCAAACACTTATTTTAAAGAGCAAATGATAAAGATTTAAGAAAACAAATTCAGTATATCTAAAAAAATATGCAACACCTTATATTATTTGCTGACTTACTCTTAATTTACTAGGCACAAGTAAAAGTTTTACATCTGCTACATGATGGCAAGAAAATAAAATGATCACCTTAGATTTTATAGCCCTTGTTATTTAGGAGACAAACGATTCTATTTCTGGGTCATTTGGTACAAACGAAACAGAATTAAGCTGTAAAGGCAGTTAAATAAACTTTCTAAGCCCATGAGTACTTCACAGGAAAGCAGTACTGATTTCAGTAAGGCAAGACACAAAAAAGTCAGCACAGATGTGAACCAAGGTGGCCTACGATGGTACTGCTTGAAAGCCTTAAATATATGACTAAATTTAATATATCTTTTTGCAAATAGTTTGCAATTTCATTTTAGCAATTCTTGAGAACATTTTAAAACCCAACAAGTTTTCATACCAATACAGACATATATTAATTCAGACACTTATATTATTGTATTGCTTCCCAATGTCTACCCTAGCAAAGCACAGTAAGGGCTGGGAAGGTGGCTCAGTGGTAGAATGCTTGTCTTGCATGCATGAGGTCCTGAGTTCAATTCCTCAGCACCACAAAAGCAGAAAAAAAAGCTAGAAAAGCACAGTAAGTGCTCAAAAAATACTTGTTACATGATTAAATGGCTGCAGACATACAGATGCCTCAGTTCAGAGCAGGTATAGCTAAGTGGCGCAACGCTTGCTTAGCAAATGTGAGGGCTTGGGTTTGATCTTTCCAACAAGGAAAGAAAAAGTGGGGGGGGGCAGGGAAGCCTCAGATAACACATGTGCTAATGAAATGAGAAAAGATGTGCAAAAATAATATAAAAAAAGAACAGGAACTCAGAAACATGAAACCTTGGATGCATATGACATGCATGTCATGAAACATGTTAAAAACATACACAATGTTTGTCTTCTTGCTTGTTTTACTACATACAATGGTACTTGCAGGGTACCATTAATGGGAAGTGGAGGTGTGGCTTCAGTGGCAGAGATCCAGTCTCCAGCAAAAATGCTAAGGGGCAGCAGCCCGGCCCTGAGCTCAAGCCCAAATTAAAGAGAGAGAGAGAGAGAGAGAGAGAGACAGAGGGAGAGACAGAGAGACAGAGAGACAAGAGAGAGAGAGAGAGACATACCCCCCCCCCCCCCCCACACACACACAGAGAATGGAATTGAGGGATTTTCCCAACTGACTCGAATTGCTAGGACAGAGTGACTTGGGATAGTGGTGATAGTTAATTAAGTCAGGTGACAGCCACCACTAACCAGGAAATCTGGTTAGAATCTGCAGTTGGCCAAGGAGGTCTCAGCAGCTGTTGGCATATGTTGGCATATGCTGTCTAACCTTGTTTTGCTTAGTAGTAAAAGTTCTGTAAAACAGAAATGAAACAGATTTCTTGTACTTCAAGTACTTCAAATGGTGGCGGGGTGAGAGAAAAGAGTAAGGCTGAGGGAAGGACTTTCCTATAAAATTTCTTATTTGTAACAGTATAAAACTACTTTTCTCCTGATGTCAGAATGCCACATACTGAATATTCAAACAATTTCACCTTGAGGAAAATACTATAATTATAGTTTATAGAATTACTACAAAAATCTTCTGTAATTCTTGTTACACTGTTGGAAAATACAGTATGAGAAATAGTCTTTCCTGTGCACAAAAATGAAACAAAAGTAGCTGGTGGTGCATGACCTTTGTCCCAGCTACATGGGAGGTGGAGATACGAGGAGGATCACAAATTTGAGGCCAGCCCGGGCAAAGGTAGCAAGACCCCATCTCAAAAACAAAATAAGAATAAAGGGACTATGGGTATGTGCCAGAGAGTAGGAAGTCCCTGTTCACTCCCCAGCATCTCCAAAATGGGGGGGGGGGGAAGTAAAAGATAAATCTATTAAAACTTTGTTAACTCTTGCAACAGTTTTTATTTGCTGATGTATTCTTGTGCAATATATGCATGTGTCTGAAATTTGGGTCTCTCTATCCCCCATAATGTTATCTAGGTGTCATTTGTGAAAAACACTATTTACAAACGGGATTTCAAAAAGTTTAAGATTATCCGAATATAATCTATCAATACATTCATACTTCAGCTGTCCAAATAAAAAAACCATGAAGGTGTTTTGTATATGACATTGTAATTTCCATAAGGAAAAACAAAACCCAGAGGCTCTGGGCTCCGTGACGCTATTACTTTTACTTCTGAGATGAAAGAAAAGCAGTCTGAGGACACGAAGAAAGCACCAAAGATGGGAAAACAATGGGGAGAAATCTGAGTTCCCAGTCTGGGTAAAGCTAAAAAATATTATAGCTTTAAAATAGGATAGGACAGGTATTTAATGTGGTCAATCTTAAACTTACTTGATTTTATTATAGGAAGGTTGGCTCTAATCTGGCTCTTGTATGATTTTATTAACATTTATTAAGCACAGCTAGTCAACATTCTCATTCAAGAGGGAGCGATTTTTGCAAAAGACTAATCTCATAAAGGAGGGATTATTAATACAAATATTGAGTGAGCGTGTACAGATACATGTATATTTCATTTTTCTTCCCATGAAATAAATACAAAGCTCCCCTGATATATTAATTTTTTGTTTTTGTTTTGCAGTCGTGGGGCCTGAACTCAGGGTCTGAGCACTGTCCCTCAGCTTTTTTTTTTGGTCGGTTGTAGGGCTTGAACTCTGGGTCTGGGCGCTGTCAAGGCAAGCACTCTACCGCTGAGCCATAGTGCCACTTCCATCCCTGAGCTTCTTTTTGCTAAAGTCTAGCACTCTGCCACTTGAGCCACAGTGCCACTTCTTCTGTGTATGTGGTGCTGAGGAATTGGAACCCAGGGCTTCATGCCTAGCACTCTTGCTAGGCAAGCACTCTACCACCAAGCCACATTCCCAGCCCCTTGATATGTTAATTTTTATGGTAAATTGAATTGCTTATCCAATTGTATTACTTTTTTTCCTCTCTTGGTTACTCTTTTACAATAGTTATGTAATGTGGTTAATTTAAGACAGATTTCCTTAGAAAGAGATTTGGGTTAAGATTCACAAATTGCCAGAAAATATTAATTCAACTTAAAATTTTGTGCAAAGCTTAGCTGTTGTTTCTACTGACCAAAATGGTCATAAGTTTTAGCACTGTGCTAGATGTGTGTGACACTGAAGTAATTTATGAGCTAGCAGAGTCTGGATAACTTAATTACCACTGGTGCCTGTAACACTAACGGGTCTGAGGACACAATTTCATGCCACACAACATGACAGTTTCCTGTGTTGTACTTTTAATAGGCCACTGACAAGATAATATGTTTGTAAATGGCCAAAGGAAAAAAGATTTAATTCTGATTAGCTGAGCAGTGTGACTATTAATGACCAGGTGGATTTTAGCAAGGGTGGGTGGTGGTGGTGGGAAGGCCAAGTATGTATGTGTATTAGTAAACTTCTAGGGATTTGGTAACCAAGTTCTGATATTTCTTCCACCATTAGGTTTTGGAGCTATCTCAATAGGGAACCTGATGTAGGTGTGGGAGGAATCTCCAGGGCTGGGAAGCTATTGGTTAGGTTTGTAACAGAAGTCTAAATTTAGTTTTTCTCATTAGGTATGTCGTCATACATCTTATGGGCATACTGTGACCTTCTGAGGGAAATCTCTCCTTATTAAACTAATACATCCTGTGAAGTTTGCATATACACACTAAAGCCCACATCTGTGCATATCAGCGTTCCCCCCTCTCCCACCTACTTCTCACCCCATTCATCTGCACACTCACTCTTTTTCCCTCTTACCATGGGCAGGTCTTTTAGGATCTGTATTCCATCTCCAGGACCCATGTGTGCTATGTGGTTAAAATTAGTTGGGTTAGAAATTAATTTATTTCTCATCTCTGGATCTCGTAGCATCTCCCTGTAAGGTAGAACACCTGTTTAGACATTTTTTAGTCTAAATAACTTAAGAAAAAAAGCTGAATATACTTTATCTTGATACAAATATAGGTTAAATAATGTTAAGGACATAATTAGGATAACAGAATATAGTCAATTCAATTTCTCAAAATGTTTTGGTTTTAACTTTAAATGAAAACATCTTACAATTTGGGATGAGAAAAATGAAAGGGTCTTTTTTTTAATGTGTGTGTCCCAGTACTGGGCTTTGAACTCAGGGCCTGGGAGTTGTCTTTTGATTTTTTACTCAAGGCTAGTGCTGTACTACTTGATCCACAGCTCCACCTCCAGCTTTTTGGTGGTTAATTAAGACATAAAAGCCTCACAAAATTTCCTGCCTGGGCTGGCTATGATCTCAGTCTCCTAAGTAGCTAAGCTTACAGGTGTGAGCCCCTGGCATCTGGCTGAGAGAGGGTCTTTTAAACTATTTTATTCAGAACTGGTGATCAAACCCAGAACCCTGGGCATCCTAGGCAAGTGCAGTACTCTAGCCTGAGAGGGTCAGGGTTTTGTCTGTTGGTTTGTTTTTTGTTGTTGTTGATACTAAGGACTGAACTCAGGGCCTCAAGTATGCTAGGCAGGTGCTCTACCACCCTATTCTTCCAGCCCTTTCTGCACTGGCTGTTTTCAAGGTAAGGTACTATTTCTTTGGCCAGGCCAGCAGGTCTGTGATCCTCCCACTGCACTGTGCTGTGCTGCTGGGGATGACAGGTGCATACCACTGCACCCAGCCACTGGCTGAGTCTTGTGAATTTTTTTTGTGTCTGGGTTGGTCTTGAACTCCATCTCCCAATCCCCACCTCCTAAGTAGCTAGAATCACCAGGCTTGAGCCACTGTGCATGGCAGGGACCTATCCTCTGAATGCGTAAGGTATCAAAAACCCCTGTAAATACACAGATAGTCTGACCCTCTCATGTGTACCTTTTAAAAATAACTGATAAACACTTTAGAAATCTTTTATATGTAGGCAAATATTATATACACATTTATTTACTTATGAACAGAATAATCTGAATTTCTTAAGCATATACAAGTTTACTATATACAGATTATATTTATATTGAACAAAGGTACACATTCCATTCAGATTAATTCACATATATACAGAAATAAATCAAAGCATGGTCCTTCACTCAGTGTGCTCTCTGAACTTGGAGAATGTTAACTAAAATGGCACTGAGAGGTGACATCACTGCAGCTGGAAACCATGGGCCTCACACTTGCTAGGAAAAGACTTCACCGCCCAGCCACACTGCCAGCTCTGTAGTTTTGCTACCACAGATGAATGATAGATCTTCTATGGCATTATCACCAGATAGACTTAGAACACCGATGGCGCACAGCTGGCCAGCGAGTACAAGTTCAGATGGATGTACCTCCTCTGCTGCACCCGCTCCTCCTCAGGGACACGGAAGGAGTAACGCCGTTTGTTGTTGATATTCCTGACCATTTGTTTCCGACTATTGTCTGATGTTTCAGGAACTACAAGTTCATCCCCTTCTGTTTGGAAAAAGAGAATAATGATGCTGCTTAAATGCTTTTTATCCATTAAATTCCATGACACTACTGGACATGTGCATTTCTGAGTTCTGCAAGTCACGCATGTAATTACAGTATATGAGCAACAATTTTTCAATAGGACATGTAAAAAAGATACATGCAGAAATTAAGCATAGCTAACAAAATATATTTTCATTGTCTCTTTTTTTGTTTTGCTCAAGGCTGGTGCTTCTACCACTTAAGCCACAGCTCCACTTCCAGCTTTTTGGTGCTTAACTGTAGGTAAGTATCTTATAGACTGCCCAAGTTAACTTTGAACTTCCATCCTTATATATCAGCCTCCTGAATACATAAGATTACAGACAGGCTCCAGTGGCTCATGCCTGTAATCATAGCTACATTGAAAGCTGAAATCTGAGAATCAAGGTTTGAATTCAGCCTGGACACATAAGTGCATGAGAGTCTTATAACTCTGATTAACCAGCCAAAAGCTGTAACTATATGTATGGCTCAGTGACAGTCCCAGCCGTGAAGATTAAACCACAAACAAGAACTTGAAGCTAGGGTTCAAAGTCCCAGTACTGCCACCCCATCCCAATTAAACAGCAACAACAACAACACAAAACAAACTAAAGTCAAATGTGGTAGTATACACCTGAAAAAAACTTGGGAGGTGGAGGCAGAAGGAAGAAGAGTCAGAGGCTATAGAGTGAGTTCTAATACAGCCTGAGCTATGTGCCAGAAACTAAAAAGAGTAAGAATCTGTCACTATTTTTTCTCTTGTAATCTGAGAGGTATTTAATAGTATACCCCTTGTCACCCCTTGGGCTAACTAGTCCTATTGCAGTTTCTATATCTAGAGTTAAATAGTTGTCACCCAAGGACTCTGAGAGTTTGTGAAGACATTCTGAGAAGAAACAGACAACTGTATGTATATGACATGACCAGAGATGCCATTATAAGACAAGGAAAAAGGGTTCTGTTTTCTCCAGTCCTGGGGTTTGCACTCAGGGCCTTGGCCCTATCCCGAAATGCTAGAGAACAGCCCCTGCGCAGTTAGGATCACAGGCATGAACCACTAGCACCAGCTTCACAAGTTTTGAACAGTGAGAAGCTGACGTAAGAAGCACTATGGGTAGAAGGCCAGTGAAGAAGACTAAAAACACCAGGCTGAACAGTCATTTCTCCAGCAAGTACTAAAAGGCAGAATTTGTAAAGGAGATGAGAATGTGAAATCATAAATATATAAACATATCTGTTAGGCAGATTTGTTGCTATGATACAAAAACAGCTTCATTATGTACAGAAGTGAGATTTTTAACTGTTCTGGCTGTGCTGAGAGCAAACATGTTGAATTCCATATGGCCCGTCCAGGGTTGTGTGTGGGGGCAATCAGGGTGGACAGTCACTGCTGACCATGCTCAGACTGTCACTCCCCATCCCCGTCTCACTTGGGGCATGTCTGCAATTTTCCTTTTTCTGCTTCTTCCCATACCAGCACTGGCAGAAAACAGACTCCTGAGGTCCCCAACCAAAACTCTGGGTGCAAACCAGGCACCAGTGGCTCATGCCTATAATCCTAGCTACTCAGGAGGCTGAGATCTGAGGATTGCGGTTCAAAACCAGCCTGGGTAGGAAGGTCTGTGAGACTCTCCAATTAATCACCAGAGAACTGGAAATGGTGCTATGGCTCAAGAGAACTAGCCTTGAGCTGAAGAACTCAGGGACAGTGTCCAGGCCAAGGGTTCAAGCCCCACAACCGACAAAAAAGAAACAAACAAAACTCCCCAAACCAACTCTGGGTGCAAAATCCATTTCAGTGTCCTTAATTTTGATGAGGTTCTACAGGTTTGGAAGTACAAAAGGTATAATCAATTTTACCTTCTGTACTTACCAAGGTACTTCAGAGAAAAATGATAAAGGCATGTTGGATTCAAATATTTTGCTTTAGAACCACTTCTACCCAATACTTACCTTAATATTTTAAGAGAGTTTGCTTGTGATCAAGTACACAGACTCTAGCCTAAGATATACCAGAGTTTAAATCTGGACTCTGCCACTTAATATCACATCACCTTGGGCTGAGATATTATGTTCATTGAAGCTATCCTATAGATGTTAAGTATTTTCTTACCTGCCATCTTATTTTTGAAATATATTAATCTTATTGTCTCCAATCCTAAAAGATTTAAAGATCCTTCACTGTTTAGTGGTCGAACCTAAAATAATAAAAAATGAAATCAGTATTTCAACAAAACTTAAATCATCTGGCCTATTAATTGAGTACATACTATTAAGACCTTTCTATGAAGACCTTTCATTCATTTCAAAATATAGTTCTCACACTGGGTGCTGGTGATCACACCTGTAATCCCAGCGACTGAGGAAGCTGAGATCGGACGGTAGTGGGTTTGAAGCCATTCTGGGCAGGAAAGTCTGTGAGACTCTTATCTACACTTAACCATCAGAAAACTGGAAATGGTGCTGTGGCTCAAAGTGGTAGAGCACTAGCCTTGAGCAAAAAACTCAGTGACAGTGCCCAGGCTCTGAGTTCAAGTCCTAAAACCAACACAAAACAATAACAAATACAGTCTTCTCAGAAAAACCTCAACAGAGGTAATGATAATTTTGCTTAAGAAGAGATACTCTAACATGAGCAAGTAAACTTTGAGTAGTATTTTAAAGAAAGAATACCCTGGGCAAATAAATAAAATTCAATAGGAATATACTTAAATCTGTTTCTTTTGTTTTGCCAGTCCTAGGGCTTGAATTCAGGGTCCGGATGCTATCCCTGAGCTTTTGTGCTCAAGACTAGGGCTCTACCATTTTGAGCCACACTTTCACACTTCTAATTGTTTTTTTTTTTTTTTTTTGCTTTTGGGGTTTTTTGGTGATTAATTGGAATTAGTCTCACAGACTTTCCTCTGGGTTGGCTCTGAACCATGATCCACAGATCTCAGCCTCTTGAGTAGCTAGGATTATAGGCATGAAGCCACCAGTGCTTGGCTATATTAAAATCGTAAATTCATCTGTACGTGTATATATGTGTGTGCACCTGTTGGTTCTGGGGCTTGAACTCAGGCCTGGGTGCTATCCACGAGCTCTTCTGCTCAAGTCTAGTGGTTTCACTTTTAGCTTTTTTGGTAGTTAATTGGAGTCTCATAGATTTTACTGCCCAGGCTGGCTTTGAACTGTGATCCTCAGATCTTAGCCTCCTGAGTAGCTAGGATTGCAGATATGAGCCACTGACACTTGGCTCTTAAATTTATCTTGTAAAAGTCATTAGTGACCAATAATTATATTAAGAAGCTATCAACACATCTGCCTTAATGAGTTCTTGTCATGAAATACAACATGTCCACAAATGATGGAGATGACATGGAAAAGGACCACCAGGAAATGGTAAGGGAACAAAGCTGACTATATGAACCAAGAAAATGGAATCCTCCCTCATATAACATGCAGGAAATCAATTCTGAATCTATTAAAGATGGACATGGAATAGGCATAATTCTATTATGGAGGAAACAATACATTTTGCAACATTTATGCATGGTGGCAGCACAACAGACTTGAAGGAACATAAAGGAAGGTTGAATCTTTATGACTTCGAGGTAGAAAAATTCCATAGAAAGGAATAAAAAGGACAAACGTAAACAAAAGGAAAAGTATGGGCTGGGAAGGTGGCTCAGTGGTAGAGTGCTTGCCTTGTATGCATGAGGCCCTGAGTTCGATTCCTCAGCACCACATAAGCAAAAAAAAAAAAAAAAAAAGGTGGAAGTGGCGCTGTCGCTCAGGTGGTAGAGCGCTAGCCTTGAGCTGAAGAGCTGAGGGACAGCACCCAGGCCCAGAGTTCAGGCCCCATGACCGGACCCTCCCCCCCCCCCAAAAAAAAAAAAAAAAAGAAAAGGAAAAGTACATTTAACTCAGTAAATTTAACAACTTCTATTCAGGAAAATCTGTCATAAACATGAACAGAGATGCCACAGATTTACCTCATCTGTTATTAATATCCACACTCTATAAATGACTCCAATGAGAAAAACATGGCAAACCCAACACAAAATATGAGCCAACAACATGACCAGGCATTTCATTTAAGAGGAAAAATGAATGGAGAAAATGACCAGGCATTTTGTAAGAAAAAGTATGGATGATGAACAAACAGAAAATATTCCTAGCCACATAGTTTACTGGGCACACACAAACTGATACTTGGATGATACAAGTTTTGCTGTCACTACCTACAAAACTGTGGGCTAGATCTGATGAGAATGTGTCTATGCTTTTGATGGGGTGGCATTGAGGAAAAATATGACATGATTGCACAGAGCTGAACAACTGAGTTCAGCGAGTCCCACCACCTCCACCCTAGTTACGTGCTGTCAAGAAGCCCTTCTCATTACTGCCTAGGTAACTGTAACTCCTCTGTATATCACCTTTACCGTAGAAATAAATTAAAAAATAAATTAAGTTAAAGAGAAAAAACTAAAAAAACTGTCTTCACACCTCTACCAGCATACAGGTGACAGTGGTCACAAGCTTATAAGCTATGATTAACTCAGCGTACACCAATCAGAGGACAGGAACAGTCACCACACAAGCTGTTTATAATACTGAAAATGCAACACATGGAGCTATTCATGTGAACTGTATTAACACAGGGAGCAAATAGAGTTAAGTCATCAAGTGATAGCACATTACAATATTTTAATAAATGGCAAGCCAACCCAAATAACATTGCTTAGAAATACTGAGAAATGCAGACGCTGTAAATTGTAAGGAAAGCAGCAGGATAATAAACAGGATGGTGATTTTCTGTGGGGTGAGACAGGTGTGGATGGAAAGAAGACACAGAAGATGTAGTGACAGTGGTAATGTTCTGGTCTCAGGGAAGGAGGTGAGATCACAAGTGGCCCGTTTATTATGTTACATTAAGGTCATGTATTCTCTCACATATATTACAAAAATTATATGAAGAGTTAAACAGAAAGATGGCTATAGCCAACCCAGATTTACAAAGCAGACCCTATTTCAGTAGTTTTATAGAGGGTGACTACATTTGAGAGCTGTTATCACTGCTGCCATGGTTTAAGACTGCCCACATTTTGGAGTATGAATCTGGCTATTTTATTTTACCTGCTTCTCTAAGCTACCCCTCAGTAAGGACATGGGGGCTCATAGACCATATGTATTTGAGTACATTCCAGTTTTTCAAAATAGCAGTTCTACATGTGCAAAAATTTTCTTTATGTATGGAAACAGTAAGGGAAAATATGTATTTGCATATGTGAAACCTCTATTTTTAAATAATTAAACCCCTAAATAGTTTTTATTCTAAGTCTGACTACTTTCCTGGTTTGTAAAATCTGTCTATACAGGAATAAACAGTATATACTATCATGTGCAAAGGGTACAATGAATACTAATCATTTTCTCCCTCAATACATCTTAGAAGATGACACTGACATTTTATGTTGTGGGCTAAATTCCAGTTACTCATCATAACAATCAGACTATATATGTTTGTGTATTTCTGTGTGTCCAAGTATATGGTAATAGTGCAATAAAAATAGTGTCACATGGGGGGGGAGGGGGGGAGGATTGGGTGGGGGATTGGGGGGGGGAGGCTGGGAAGGGATGTGAAGGGTAAACAAAGGAGGAGGCTGCAATGCTTGGTAAGAAATGTACGCATTATCCTGCCCATGTAATTGTAACCCCTCTGTACACACACACAAAAAAATAAAATGAAAAAAAAGTGTCACATTGAGCTTCATATCATAAAATCAACCAGTTTAGTCAGACTTTAACATCACCTTTTTGAGAGGAAGAGTCTGAATCCATTCCATGGAGTTGACATCAAAGATATCGACTGCATTTTCACTGTATACTGAGAGATAGGGTGCGTTGTAACCTAGGAAGGGCAAATGGGGAGGAGCCTGGTGGTTATGTGAATCTTGAAGACCGAAGCATTTTGAAAGGTCTATTCTATGTAAATGTAGAGTGGAATCTCACCCAAATCCTATCTTATTATCATATAAGAATATCAAAACATTTTTTCCTTGTATGCTGATCCTGGAGCCTGAACTCAGGACGTGGGTACTGTCCCTGACCTTTTTGCTCAATGCTAGCACTCTATCACATGAGCCATATTCTGACTTTATGGTGCTTAATTGGAGGTAAGAGGCTCACGGGGCTTTCCTGCTCAGGCTGGCTCTGAATTGTGATCCTCAGATCTCAGCTGCCTGAGTAGATAGAATTAACAGGTGTGAGCCCCCAGCACCCAGAAATCCAAACATTTTTGAAGAAAATAGAATATAATTCATAAAGGAAGAATTGACACACCATGTTGGCCGGGTTCCAGTGGCTCACGCCTGTAATCCTAGCTACTCAGGAGGCTGAGATCTGAGGACTGTAGTTTGAATCCAGTTTGGGCAGAAAGTACTGTAAGACTCTAATCTTCAATTAACACCCAAAGCTGGAAGTGAAGGGGTGGCTCAAGTGGTAGTGCACCAGCTATGAGGAAAAAAAAAGCTCAGGGACAGCACCACCCACATGAAGTTCAAGCCCCAGGACTGGCAAAACAAACAAATAAATAACAATGACTACATTTACTTGAAGTAGAAGTAAAAAGGAAGGAAGAGCAAAGATAAAGAATCTCCTGGGAGAGAGCAAGGAAGGGATGACATTGTTTAAAAAAAAAAAAAAAAGTAAGCGGGGTGCTGGTGGCTCACGCCTGTAATCCTAGCTACTCAGGAGGCTGAGATCTGAGGATCATGGTTCAGAGCCAGCCCGGGCAGGAAAGTCCATGAGACTCTTCTCTAATTAACTACCAGAAAACCAGAATTGGCGCTGTGGCTAAAGTGATCGAGCGCTGGTCTTGAGCTGAAGAGCTGAGGGACAGTACTGAGGCCCAGAGTTCAAGCCCCACAACTGACTTAACCCCCCCGCCCCCCAAAACAAAACAAAACAAAACAAAACAAAACAAAACGTACTCTCTACTTGACTTATATGACTGTAACCACCTCTGCACATCACCTTTATAATAACAGTTTATAAAAACCGTTGTTAAAGAAAGCAAGAATCTTACAACACGAGGAAGGATTTGCGGGCCACATCAACTCCTGCTGTCGGGATCTCCGCCCCTGGCAGTCGGTGTATATCCCAATGCTGTTAAAACACAGCAGGTATTCTTTACTGGAGATCTCAACCGCGCAGAGAGCATCCATTGGCTGGTGTGTTAGAAATGACAGTGTGTGGTCATTTGAATGAAGCAGACTGCAGGGCCCTCCGTCTCCATTCAAAGGATATCTGAGAAATCCTGACTGGAATCCCACACAGAGTTGTTCACTGAAGACTGCCATCCACTGGACAGTATATGGAACTTGAAGTTCCTTAAACTTTCTGTGGCGTGTCTTGCTCTGAGACAGCTCATAGCAGAGGACCTGCCTTTTCATGGCCACACACAGGCATGTCAGAGCCCCATGGCGCACTCTTCCAGCAGTTATAGTCTGACACCCTTTAGTTTCTGCCAGCTTATAAAAATCTGTCTCTCGCCCATCCAAAGCCGACATAGGAAAGAGCCGCACATGACGATTTCGTCCTGAGATCACAGCAACAAGCTGCTCGTTTGGAATGAGTTCAATCTGATGAATCTTCTTATTGTCACCAACTCTAATAATTTCTACACACAGAAATAACAAATCAAAGGCAAAATGGTTTCAAAGTGGTTATCCGCTGAGGTGTTTCAATTTTAGACAAAAGGATATGCATGCACTTACAATAAACACACACAGACATACATAGAAGAAAAAATTAGAAATCAAGAGGACAAAGAGAGCATTTCCCTCACTGGCTGTAGGCATTCATTTAGCACTGACCCCTGGAAGGCTAAGGCAGCGTTCTTGAGCAGGAGTAAGTCAGATCTTCCAGGAAAACATGTTTCCTGGCACTAAATTCTAGGGAATTTCACTTGGGGCTCCTGAAGCGTTTCTATGGCTAACAAACTAGCCAGATTTAAGTGACATTTTTTTTCTCATAATCTAACCTGAAAGAAAGATAGAACTTAGAATACTTTATTCATGAATACTAAACTAAATTGCTTTCCTCTTTATTTCACTCACCATCTAATTTCTCTCTAGGAGGGAATTTCAAACAAATGTAACCTATTTTAATAGCTGTTACATACTTATGAAACAATGGGAAAATCAAGTTGTATTTTATTTGTATTTTAGTGCAACCAAGTGTACTAGCCTTGGGTGAAAAAAGCTCAGGGATAGCACCCAAGCCCTGAGTTTAAGCCCTAGAGTAGGCATGAGTACATGCACATGTGTATGTGCACGAGCACATATCAAAAGAAATAAACGTTTACTGAATAACTGATTAAAAATGCAGAAATGCAATCTGGGTCACATAGCAACATGGTAAATTAAAATGCACAAGTAGATGATACAGTTAAAAGTTTTAGAACTTAGGTTATTTTATAGTTTTTTTTTTAAAAAATCACTTGATTTAGCAATCAAATTATGCCCAGAACATTTCAGTTATAGAATGACTCACACAAAATCCTGCTCTTTAACTTAATCTCAAGAATTTTCTAACATGACTTAAAATCGCTCTACCATAATTGGATTTTTTTCTTACCATCTTTGGTGACATGAACAACAAATAACCCTTCTTCATTTCCCAAAGCTATTCTTTCATGATCTGTGTAGGACACAAGATGGAAACATATTTAATAGTTAAAAAAAAAATCATGTAAAGCCAGCAGAATAAACCAAATAAGAAAAGTTGGTGGAAGAATAAAAATTTAAAAAATAGCCAGGCTCTGGTGGCTCATGCCTGTAATCCTAGCTACTCAGGAGGCTGAGATCTGAGGATCACGGTTCAAAGCCAGCCCAGGCATGAAAGTCCATGAGACTCTTATATCCAATAAACCACCAGAAAACAGGAAGTGGCACTGTGGCTCAAGTGGTAGAGCACTCACCTTGAGTGCCCAAGCCCAGAGTTCAAGCCCTATGACCAACCAAAAAAATAAAAAACAAAAAAACATCTAACAGCTTACACTATTAAGTTACATTTCAGATTAAAGTGATAAACATGTCAGGCCTTTTCAAACACAATAATTATTTTTAAAGAAATCTATTGTCAGGCACCAGTGGCTCACATCTGTAATCCTACCTACTCAGGAGGTTGAGATCTAAGGATTTTGATTTGAAGCCAGTCTGGACAGGAAAGTCCATGAAACTCTTACCTCAAATCAACCACCAAAAAGAAGAAAATGGAGCTATGACTCAAGTGCACAAGCCTGGGACAAAAAAGCTCAAGGACAGCAACCAGGCCCTGAGTGTAAGTCCCAGGATTCCAATACATGTCAAAAGCAGTAAATGTTTCCTAAGTAACTGATTAAGAACTTAGAAACCTCACTTGCTAGTGCCCCAAGTCCATTTCCTTGTGCTGCTTGCAGAGGGAAAGATAGCCAAAGGCTTTGAATAACACTCATTAAGCTTTTCAGTACTGATTGGCCAGTAACAAAGAACTGGATGTCAGAACTTAAACCTCTGTGTGCTGAAGCCACAATTTACTAATTCGAGCATTTTAAATGCCTCTTCACTGTGCTACGTGTGTGTGTGTGTGTGTGTGTGTGTGTCGTGCTTTTCAAGCTTCTTGAAAACCTGGGCAAGGTACTCAGTATTTATGTGTGACAGATGAAACTTACACTCTAACAAATTAATGTGTTCTAGTTCATACAAGTAGGAAATATTTAAATAGGTTAATTAATTAGTTTTAGCTCAGTTGCTTTCTCAGAAGAAAATATACTTGTAACTGTTTGCTGCTAAACAGGGACACAGAATGAACATGTACCAAGGTCTGGAATGCACCAGGCACTCTGTCAGGCCAGAGGGACTCCTAGACAAAGGCAGTTCCAACTCATAAGGCGGATCAGTGAACCATTATGACGGTATGAGAAATGTTCTAAATTCCCACCTATGATTGCAGCAGCCTGGGTTGTTTTGATGAGGGGGAGTGTGCTGTCATAGGCCTCTTTGGGAACATAGACAGAACGGTCTCTGAATTTATTTTTCTTCAAAATCTTGTGCAATTCACTGAGCACTCCCACCCACTTGCTCTTCTCATTCTCACTATCTGCCAGCAGCAGGATGGAACATTTGTTGTTAGATGCTGAGAGCTGGGAAGCTGTGACCTGCAACAATTCAACATTCACGGTGTTAGAAAACAGATCCTGAGTGCTAGTTCAGGTTATCCAAGTGGTTTAGCATCACCAAAACAATGTGCATTCGTTCAATGATACCTTCAGCAAAGTCTAGCCATTCCCTAGTTTTCATGACAAGGCAAAAAGGGATACCATTCAAAACGTTAGTGTTGTTTTAGCTTTCCAATTATAATAAGAACACTACATTAGCACCAGAACACAATCCCAAGAAATTACACATACTCTTTACAACTACTAAGCGCCAGTATGACCTCTCAGCACTTTTCTTTTCTTTCTTTTTTTTTTTTTTCTTTTTGCTTATGTGGTGCTGGGGAATCGAACCCAGGGTCTCAGGCATGCAAGGCATGCGCTCTACCACTGAGCCACCTTCCCAGCCCCTCAGCACTTTTCGAAGTGTTTACTCATCTAACTCCCTTAAGGTCTTCATCAGATAGGAACTGCTATCTTACATTCTCATCTAGTATATGAGAAAAGGGGATACTGGTAAAGAGTGCATAGAACATGGAGTCCCACACTGTGCAGCGGTCAGGAATGCTCATATATATTTACTTTGTTCCTTTACAACAATAGCTCCCACTATCATTAAGGAGTAGTCACAATCAGAACAGCTTTAAAATTTACATCGGAAGTCTCTGTCAAGCCTCAGAAACAAACGACATGGTTCCCCTCCCTCCTGGATGTGGAGGGAGGAGAGAGACTAATAGTATGAGAACTGAGATGAACCTAAGGTTTACTAATTTCCTTCAACAGAAGATGAGTAGACAAATGGTAATCAGGGCAGTCAGAAAAATAGAGAAGCTGAAAAAAATCTCTTCTGTATTAACTCACCATGCCAAGATTACATTTAGGTAAATAGCCTGTCCACAATTCCACTCTTATCAAGAAGTGGGTCTATTTCTCCTCCCCTTAAATCTTATGATTTCCTTTGAGCAACACACTACCTAAGGGACATGTTTGGGCCTAGTTCTTACAAAGCCTGGAAGCTATTTTAGCTCTCTTGAAGGAGCCAGTCAGACTTTCAGATAGTTAAAAGACCACAGAGAGGGTCCACAAAAGAAAACTGAGGGAGGTCCCCCCAGCTGACACCAAGACAGCAGATTAAAGAGTACAGTCATTTGGATTTTCTAGTACCAAATGAACTGAATGCAGCCACAGGTGTGACCTCAGCCCACACCTCAGTAATTGGGCAGCCAACCAGCAGACTGGTGAAGAATGCAAAAGCACTCTTGCCCTGAGCTACTAAGTCTTGAAATAGTTGTTACAAAGCAAAATAGCAGGATCACAATTTTTAAAATGAGTTTACAGAAACTTTTTTTAAACTCGAAAAACTTCACATTTATCCAATTGTCCTCAAAGGAGTATTTATCTAAAAACTAAACTGGGATTCAAAAATATGAGCTAACAGGAAAATATACTTTAGAAGTCACATATTTACACTTTCTACTGGCATTTCTTAACTTACACTTAGCACTAACTTTCTATATACTCAAGTACTAGGAGATATGGAATATATAAAGGAATGTAAGATCTGTTGTTTTTTTTTTTGGGTCCGGTCGTGGGGCCTGAACTCTGGGCCTGGGCGCTGTCCCTCAGCTCTTCAGCTCAAGGCTAGCGCTCTACCACTTGAACCACAGCGCCACTTCCGGCTTTTTTTTTTTTTTTTTTGCTTATATGGCACTGAGGAATCAAACCCAGGGCCTCAGGCTTGCAAGGCAAGCACTCTACCACTGAGCCACCTTTCCAGCCCCGTAAGATCTGTTTTATTCCCAGTACATTGATTTATCTGGAGAAGCAAAACATATTCTTTTTTTTTGGTCGGTCATGGGGCTTGAACTCTAGGCCTGGGCACTGTCCCTGAGCTCTTCAGCTCAAGGCGAGTGCTCTACCACTTGAGCCACACCACCACTTCCAGTTTTCTAGTGGTTTATTGGAGATAAGAGTCTCATGGACTTTCCCGCCTGGGCTGTCTTTGAACCACAATCCTCAGATCTCAGCCTCCTGAGTAGTTAGGATTATAGATGTAAGCCACCAGTGCCCGGTTGCAAAACATATTCTTACAAACAAAATAATTCAGCTAGTCACACCTGCAGTGCTACCTACTCAGAGGAGAGAGAGATTAGGAAGATGGTGATTTAAGACCAGCCTGGGCAGAAAGTTTTCAGGACTCCATCGCAAATGATCTCTGTCAAATGTGACAAATTTGTCAGCCTACTTATGTAGGAGAGGTTGAGATCCAAAGGACCCCAAGTTCTAGTACAGCCTAGAGGAAAAAGTTCATAAGCCTCTCACCTCAACAAAAAGGCTGGCATGTCAGAACACACCTGCCAGCCTAGTTATGGTGGGAAGTGCAAATAAGACAATCACAGTCCAGGCAAAAAGGGAGACCTCTCTCAAAAATAACCAGAACAAAAAAGGGGCTAGGGCTATGGCTCAAGCAACAGAGCACCTACCTACTCAGGGACCTGAGTTCAAATACCAGTACCACAGAAGAACAAAACCAAGCCAAAAACAATTTAAATTCTCAAATTATAACACATACTTACCCTAAATATACAGGGTATATCTTTTCGACTTGCATGAATCACATCAGAGGCCAGGACTGAACTCACAGAAAATTCTTCATCTCTGGAAAAAAAGGGTGAAACATCAGAAGTTGGGACAAGTGGCTGTGTGTGTGTGTGCACACGCGTGTGTGTGTGTGTGCACGCGTGTGTGCGCGCGCACGTGTGTGTGTGCACACGCGCGTGTGTGCGCGCGTGCGTGTGTGCACACGTGTGTGTGTGCGTGTGTGTGTGCGCACACGTGTGTGTGTGTGCGTGCGCGCACGTGTGTGTGTGCGCGTGCGCACGTGTGTGTGTGTGTGCGCGCGCGCACGTGTGTGTGTGCGTGTGTGTGCGCACGTGTGTGTGTGTGCGCGCGTGCGCGCACGCGCGTGTGTGTGTGTGCACGCGCGCGCGTGTGTGTGGTGTGTGCGCGCACGCGTGTGTGTGTGTGTGCACGCGCGTGCGTGTGTGTGTGTGCGCGTGCACGCACGTGTGTGTGTGTGCGTGTGTGTGCGTACGCGCGCGTGTGTGTGTGTGCACGCGCGCGTGCGCACGTGTGTGTGTGCGTGTGTCTGTGTGTGCGCGCGCACGTGTGTGTGTGTGCGCGTGCGCACGTGTGTGTGTGTGCGTGCGCACGTGTGTGTGCGCGCACGCCGCGCGCGCACGCGCGTGTGTGTGTGCACGCGCGCGCGTGTGTGTGGTGTGTGCGCGCACGCGTGTGTGTGTGTGCACGCGCGCGCGCGCGCGCGTGTGTGCGCGCACGTGTGTGTGTGTGTGTGTGCGCACGTGTGTGTGTGCGCGCACGCATGTGTGTGTGTGTGCGCGCGCACGCACGTGTGTGTGTGTGTGCGTGTGTGTGCGTACGCGCGCGTGTGTGTGTGTGCACGCGCGCGTGCGCACGTGTGTGTGCGCGCGCACGTGTGTGTGTGCGCGCGCACGCGTGTGTGTGTGTGTGTGTGCGGGCGCGTGCGCATATGTGGGTTCTAGTCCTAGGGCTTAGACTCAGGGCCTGAGCACTGACATTTGTTGGGAGCAGACTGTAAAGTTTAAAGGTCATCTTAACCCTGGTGCTACTTGAAGGCATGTACAAGGAGCTGGCTTACTTAAAAAACACCAGGTGCCCGGGATTGCTTTGCTATGTCTGCAGAGTTTGTTTTACTTTCTACCAGTTGACCTTGTCCTGTTTTTACTGCACTCTGTTTTTACTGAAATTTTCCTTGTTTTTCTGGACTACTGTAACCTTATGTTACCGCTTGACTTCTAATAGTATATATTAGGGAAAGTTAAAAATAAACGCTGCTTCAGTCTTGAGCTGCAGACCTCCTGACCCCATCCTTTGTCTTATGTCTTTATTCTTCTGCATCCTCGCCCCCTAAATCAGGATTCCCTTTCATTGCCGGTAGGCTCCCGCAGACCGTGAGCTTTTTTGCTCAAGGCTATTGCACCACCACTTGAGATACAGCTCCACTTCAGGCTTTTTGCTGGTTAATTGGAGATAGGAATCTCATGGACTTTTCCACCTAGGATGGCTTCAAACCATGATCTTCAGATCTTAGCCACCTAGTAGATAAGATTACAGGCATGAGGGGCTGGGAAGGTGGCTCAGTGGTAGAGCACTTCCCTTGCATGCATGAGGCCCTGGGTTCGATTCCTCAGCACCACATAAGCAAAAAGAAAAAACCCGAAAGTGGCGCTGTGGCTCAAGTGGAAGAGCGCTAGCCTTGTGCTGAAGAGCTGAGGGGCAGCACTCAGGCCAGAGTTCGGGCCCCACGACCAGACCTCCCCGCCCCCCCCCCCCAAAAAAAAAAAAAAGATTACAGGCATGAGCCACTGATGCCTGGCCATGCATGTGCGTTTGTGTGTGGTTTTACTCATGCAACTAAACAGCACATGGGAAGAAATCCTCATAACTTAATTGCTTAAAACACCCAAATTAAATGTTAAAAAATTGTTTTCCCCTACAGTAATAGATCTTAAGTGACTTACCACTTAAAACAATGAACAATAAACAGTTGGCACATCATACATGTGACAGAAATAATCACTGGCTAGCCCAAAGAAGCAAGGGCTGAAGAACTCCATGTAGAACTGAGACTTGAACTCCACTGCAAAGTGGAGCCTCTTCTCTTCCCAAATAAACCAGACATGTGCTCAAGCCTGCTCATCTGACCTTCTCTTGTCCTTGCAACGTCTCAAACAGACTTCCTATGTGTAACTTATTCTCCATAACTTTTTTACTTTTGGTACTGGTATCTTCATTCCCTCAGTCTTAAAGACATCCTTGTCTTATCTTGGATCCTTCTCTCTCCTTCACTTTCATTTTTCTAAGGGACAGAGGTCTCACTGTTGCCAGGTTGGTCTTAGAGACTCTTGGGCCTTTTCACCTTCCCGCCTTTTAAAATGCTCAGTCCCTTAGCCAGTTTTCCCTCTGCCAGGTTTCCTGGCTGTGTTTCTGGCACGGATCCTTTCATATTCTGTATTTGGTGGGAGGATAACATGGTTGGCCTGCAGGTGTGAAACAGCAGTGTGGGCATGGGCATGAGTGTGAGTTCTGAGTGATGGGTGGTCATTTCTGAACTGAAGGCATGAGGAGTTGTCTCTGCAGAGGTGGCAGCTGATGCTGTGGGAGGGAGGGAGACTTCTCTGGGACAGCCCTGGAGTTAGAAGGAAAGGAGGGCACTCCCAGGGATGGGGAACAATCTGGAAAATGAAAATCGAAGAGAAAAATCGAAGAGATTCTGACTCAAACGGCTCCTGTTTTCAGTATGTTTTCCGAGAGCTTGCCTGAGCTTCACTTCCCTTCCTCGCACTGAACCATTCTACCCGACTTTTGATGATGATCTGAAGAGTACCCAAACCCACATATCAGCTTGTCCAAAGCTACTCCTTACTTCCTGCTACTTATGAGGTTATAGTAGAAAACCAACACAGAGCTAGATTACATACAAGAAAGTTCAAAAGCATTCTTGTCCTATGCCCAGCAACTCACAGTGCCTCCCAGGCTTACCTCATGTCGATCACCTGACTGATGACCACGCTGGGTTGAGAGGCTTTTCCTTCAGCGATATCATACAGAAAGAGTTTGAAATCACAGACCACAGCCAGAGCTCTCTGCCATCCTTTCTTCACTCCCGCTGGCTTAGGGATCTTAGTTTTGTGACAGACAAAGACACAATTCAAATGAGAATGTCACAGGAGCCTCTTTAGTCCCTGAGGCAATGTAGGGGAAAACCTCAAGGTAATGTATCCAAGTTCGAAGTCCAGTACACTGGGTAGTGAAGCAGCAGGTGGGACACAATCACTAACGAGGGAAAAGCGGTAACATGCTCTTCAAATACTGAAGGACTTGGCCTCTGACTGAAAGGTTCAAGGTACCAATTGAACCCTAATAATTCATTAAAATATTATCTATGTTTTTTTTTCTAAATAGCATGAGGAAAATTTGATATGATGAAAGTCAGCTCACATTATAAATATTACCCAAAACACCAAGACTGTGTCTTGATATTCTCTCCTCTTATCCACATTTCACCTCTTGAGCAAGGCCAGTGGCCAAAATTTCTTTAAGGCAATTTCAGTATCTGTTCACTACAAGACAGGGAACATACAGAGATGTATGCATTGTTTTAGAATTTATTTCCAAGTAAAGGGTAATTACTTTGGATGAAATAAGATTATTTAGTTGAATTTTATTCATCTGACTTTCTATCAAGTAGGATGCTCATAAAAGCAACTCAGAGGGACTCAATTCTCCTTATTCTCCATGATACTCACCCTGACGTGGCCTTCATAGGCTGTTCCCACTCCTTTTTGTGGATCTATGCCCAGGGGACCTTTTGTCTGCTCAGGAGGAACTGGACAGGCAGTTGGAGCTTTGTTTACACAAGTTATGTGACATGAGAAGCCACATACTTTTGGAAGAAAAAAGATACGTTCACTGAGAATTCATTTTAACAACAACAACAGAATTCACTTCATACACAGTGCTATTCTAGATGAATTTTTTTTAATTTTAATTTTATATTTGGCCAGTCATGGGGCTTGAACTCAGGGCCTCGGCACTTTCCCTGAGGTTTTCTACTCAAGGTTAGTTCTCTACCACTTAGAGCTTCACTTCTGGTTTTCTGATGGCTACCTGGAGATTAAGAGTCTAGTGGACTTTCCTGCCCAGGCTGGCTTAACTATGATCCTCAGATCTCAGCCTCCTGAGTAGCTAGGATTACAGGCATGAGCCACCAGCACCCGGTCCTTATTTTCTTTTGAACAACTGGGAAACATTTGGGAAACTGATTCACTGCTTACCAGTAAGAATCTCAATAACAAGTGACGAAAAATCTTTAACAATTTTGTAGCATTAGTTTTCTGTTAACATTAGGGATCAAAGTGAGAAGCAAATGAGTAACGACTATCTAACCTTGAAAAATAATTCCTAATGAAGGACCTTCAGGAGTTCACTAGCTCTTTACCCTATAGTAGTTTGGATCTACCAGAAACTTTCCTTGAGAGTCACTGGTAAACATTAAACTTCTGATACCTTTGCCACATCTGGCAAGTTTTTTAAAATTAAAATTTTAATGATTAGAAAGAGCTAAACAGCATAATTTTGGAGTTATAACCTTCTATAATTCTTTTTTTTTTTTTTTTGTTGGTCATGGGGCTTGAACTCTGGGCCTGGGCGCTGTCCCTCAGCTCTTCAGCTCAAGGCGAGCGCTCTACCACTTGAGCTACAGCGCCACTTCCGGTTTTCTAGTGGTTTATTGGAGATAGGAGTCTCACGGTCTTTTCTGCCCGGGCTGGCTTTGAACCTCGATTCTCAGATCTCAGCCTCCTGAGTAGCTAGGATTACAGGCATGAGCCACCGGCGCCCGGCCCTTCTATAATTCTTAAATTAGGTATAGAACAGAGTTAATTTCATTGGACATTTGAAGAATGTTTCTGAGACAAGGAGGAGAGATACAATTATTATCCCCATGGCGCACATGCCTTGCTCAGGGCCAGAGCTCAGAAGCAGCAGTGCCAGGGTTCAAACCCCATGAGTGCAGTTCTGAGTCTGCATGTCTTCCTACCAGTACTACTGCATAATCCCTCTATTTGGTTCACATGGTAAGCTTGAGATTCTAATGAAAGTCAGGTTTTATTGACACTTGGGTTGATGAAAAATTAAAGGTTAAAATATTTAAAACAAAAAGGCTTGTTGGCAGGATTTAAGATTATAATCCCCACTACAAAGCTGGCTCCTGCACAAACACTGGGAAAATAAGAGGAACCAAAGGCGCTGAGAACGCATCCACATCCAGTGCTCACTGCACAACCAGCAGGGAGGCAGTATGGTGTAATACTGAAAAAAGCTATCCAAACGTCTTCATTCACCTTCCTTTCGGTTGGCATCAGAGTTTGGAACCGGGCGTCTGCACCTGCATGCTTGTTTCACCCACTTGCTCTGCTGTGTTCTGAAGCCACACTTCTAACCTTGAATTCATTTTTAAATGAGATGTCTAATAAATTATAACCTGTTATACTGGTAAATAAAAGTTTCACCTCCAAGGGCAGTGAAAATGACAAAAATGTGCTCATATATTGTATCTAATTCCAAGCAACTAGGAAGAAATAAAAATGGCAGAATGTAACCACATTACCACAACATTTACAAAAACCTGTCATACAAAGGCTAGAGACAGTCTAATGTCCCCATGACTTAAGATAAGCATCAAAAATCTGAAAAAAAAAATAGGGAAGAAGATAAAATGGCTTTAAAAGAGCTAAAAAAACATCCTGCTATGAGCTGGGCATCAGTGGTTCATGCCTACAATCCTAGCCACTCAGGAGGCTGATAGCTAAAGATGAAGGTTCAGAGCCAGCCCGGGCAGAAAGGCCTTGAGACTAACCAGCAAAAGAGCCAGTCTGGAGGTGTGGGTCAAGTGGTAGCGGACCAGCTGTGATTAAAAAATTGCTAAACAAGCATGCAAGGTCCTGAGTTGAAGCCCCACTGCCCCCCCCCCCCACTCCTACCATGGAGTTAGGTGGTTGTCTAAGATTCTTTCTGATAAGCAAATTATAAAGACATTCAAGAACTAGCTAAGGATCAACATGAGATAAAACTAGACACCTACACAAATTCTTTCTCTGGTTTCAGCTATACTCTCCTGGTCCTTGATAGTGGCTACTTCCTTTGAGGTTATTCTGCTGTCTTGCCATCTATACTCTCCAAGGCTCAGTCCTTGTCTTCACCCTTCTCAAACCTGTGCTCTCTAGACAAGGCTACTTCTATCCAGGATTTCACTCCTGGCCAGACCAGATAGATACATGCATGTATCTAATGAGATAGCAGAATCTGGATTTTCTACTTTAGCTGTGAGAACTAATCACACATAAAATGCATTTACTATAGATGCTACTATTAATTTACTCTTTTTTCAAAGTAGTTAATACACACCAGATGCAAATACTAAGGGAGAACAAGCATCTGATGGGATGACAACATTCCCTTTTTAGTCCCTTCCAATACAAGAGCTAACAAATGGAAACTAGTATTAGAATTTGAATCAGCAGCTATTTTCTTATTTTTCATGTTGGACCTATAAATAACAGATTAGCTGGTTTTGTAGTGGCAAATCTCGTTTGATAAACTAACAAATAATATATCCCAACATAGTGTTGATTATTTTCCTTTTTAGAGGTCCTAGGAAACAAAATGGTGCCCAAACAAATATTCCTTGTTTTTAGTTTCAATAATCCTTGATCTTTTCTCTCTTTCTCCAGAATGTGAGTTCTTTGAGGCTCCTCTCTCTCTCTCTCGTCTCTCTTGCACATTTACCACTGTACCCCAGACCAAGCATGCACCATAAACACAAGACATGTGAATCAATGAATAGACAGACTAAATCTCTGCTGTTGACACTAGGAGTCAACTGTCTTTTGAGATAAAGTGGCAGATATTGATAATTTTGTCTCCTTTATAATACTACTTAAAAAATAAACAGGTCCAAGGATAATTTTCATGTTTTCTGTTTCAGATGCTAATGGCTTAGGGGACCACAGATTCACCCAAATAATAAAACAAAGATGAATGAAGTCTACACCTCCTTTGAAAAGTGTTTCTAGGGAGCAACAGTCTAGCTTCTCCAACATTCAACAGACATGTTAGCAGGGTGCTCAGTTTATTAATTCTTGTTCTCCAGATAAAAGCAATGGCAAAGAAAACAAGCTACATTTTGTTGTGTTTGAAAGGATCACAAATGAGGCAACAAATGTTAGGAAGACCAAGCAAGTTGCTTCTTCTTCCTTTCTGTCCTTACCTTCACACGCACAGCCTTGTCTCATCAAACCCACCATCAAAGAGGTGCACTGATGGCACTTGGTGGGTGTTGTGAAAGACTTCACAAAAAACTGATGAGTCTTGCGCTGTAAAACAAATTGACATAAGAAAAGATATATAATATTAGTCCTAGGCCACACCGCATTACAGGATGTTTTTTCTTTTCTTTTTGGTGCTAGAGACCAATCCAGGGTGCTATACTTGCTAGGCAGGTGCTTTACCACTGAGCCCTAGAATGTACTTCTTTAATAGAAGCATTTCCATTTTTTCACAACATCTTATACTCTATGCCCTTTAATATGTTTATTTGGCAACACCGAGATGAACTATGCTAAAATGATTTAAGCTAAATGATAATTCCTTTTGAATATCATTGGTAAAGAATATAAACTGTAGCTTTTTGGGTCTTGCTTCAGAGAACAGCCAGAAGAGAAGAAAAGGAACAAAAATCTGGGAAGTCTAAGTGAAGACCTAAATTTTTACACGTGGTAATTTTGAATCAATGAGAATTAGTGATAGCCTTGAAATTCAAAGAAGTGGCTAGAAAAAGTTCTCTTCTACTCCAATTTCACATGTGACTTCAAGGTACATGTCAAAGAAAGTATTTTATGAGCTCGGACCTCATGCTTCCTTCCTCTGCTACTTGAGCCAGGTCCCTAGCCTTCTCAGATTTATTCTCTGATAGGCTCACACTTTTTTTGTCTGGGTTCACCTTGGACTGCAGTCTTCCTTGTCTCCTACATAGCTGGGATTACAAGCGTACACTATATCTGGCTTGTTGAGATAGGGTCTTGCTAGTTTTTTGCCTGGGCTGTCCTCAAACTTGGGAGAACTCTGTCTCCCAAATACCTGGAATTACAGGCATGAGCTACCAGGCCTGGCCTACTTTGCTTTATTGTCTATTTTTCCTTTTTTTTGCACTGGATTTTATTTTTGAAATTTTATTGTACAGGTGATGTACAGAGGGGCTATAATTACACAAGTAAGGTAATGAGTACATTTCTTTTTGGACAATGTCAACCCCCTCCCCCCCTCATTTTCTCCCATTCCTGCCACCCAAGTTGTAAAGTTCATTTCCAAAACAGTGTCTAATGAGTATCACTGTTGTATTGGTTCACCCTTTGTCCCACTGTTTCTGTGATTCTCCTTTCCTTCCCCAAATCAGGTAAACTTACGTACAAGACAAAGGATACCAAAATAAGTAACAATGACAACAGGAAATAAACCAAAGGAAAAAAGAAAGAAAAAATAAATAACTGCAAACAGCACACTAAAAAGAAACCTCGTTTCCATTTCTTGGAGTCATTTTGATAAGCATCACTTTGTATGTTCATATGCACATAGCTACTGAGCTATTGTGATCCTCTACCAAGAATATCCTAGACACATTCTAGTTATTACAAATGAGGGAAACCATGCAGCCTGTGTTTCTTTGGGTCTGGCTTGCTTTTGCTTAATGAATTTTTTCCAAGTCTTTCCATTTCCTTATGAATGGGTGATGTCATTCTTTCTGATGGAAGCACAGAATTCCACTGTGTATATATACCACGTTTTCTTGATCCAGTCATCTCCTGAGAGGCAACTTGGGTTGGTTCCTTATCTTATCTATGGTAAATAATGCTGCAATGAACATGATTGTGCTGATTTTCATTACACTTTTTGCTTTAAGCCAGGCTAGAGACTCTGGGAGAATTAGCTACATGTAAGACTGAGACAGCCCTGACGGAGGTTGGTGCAAGCCTATCAACACCAACATCAACGGCCTACCCTGGAAAGAAACATCAGCCCAGTGGAAACTTCTACAACCCACTAATCACAGCTACATGAGACTCCAAGGAAAAATCTCCAGGTGGACTCTACCCAAATTTAGCTTATAAATGGTGAGCCTGTGGAAAGACTTGAGACAATTGAACACATAGTTATGTTTGCCTTCTCTTTTTTCATTCCTGTGTTCTTCCAATTAATATGGAACTACAGATTTTACAGTTCTGTAGGGTGAAGAGTTGTAACTTTTTATTTACTAATCTATAATCTTTCCAACTTATGACCCATATTTATGTTAACTTCCTTACTGAATTAGCAATATCTATTTGGAATATTACAAACATATGTAATGGCATATAATGCCAGACACTGTTCTGAGTTATTTACAAATATTAAATGTTTAAAACTCAAAAAACTATTAATACCTCCCCCTCCTTTCTTCTTTACAGTTCTGAGGATTGAACTTAAAGCCACTAGCATTCTAGACAAGCACTCTATCTCTTGAGCACTACCCTTAGCCTTTTCAGTTATTTTTATTTATTTATTTCTGGTTTAGAGTCTTACTAACTATGCCCAGGATGCTGCTGAAATCATGATCCCCGGCCTCTAACTCCACAGAAGATGCATGTGTCATTTCCTCATTTCTTGATGAGGAAATGGAAGTGGAGAAAAGAAGTAACACGCTCCAGTACACCAAGCTACTCTGAACCCATACTCTCTCTCCACACTAGACAAGAGCACCAGCATGATCACCTGGCCTCACTGCACTCAATCCCACGTGTTGCATTTGAGATTTATTCTAGACTATTTTGAACATATATTCCTTTTTTAATTTGTTGTGTATGTATGTGTGCAGTCTTTGCTTTTAGACGCCACAGTCACATCCTCTAAGGTATCTATTCAACTCTCCCAGATCTCTCATAGTGACCTCTTGCCTTTCTATCTCTTCTTGAAAAAACATTTCTCATAAGAGATCTGTTGTTGTTTGGCTAATATTGGGGTTTGAACTCAGGGCTTCAAGCTTACCAGACAGGTACTCTACTACTTGAACCATTCCTCTAGCCTGCTCTAAGAGTATTTATAGAAGACTTTTATATAGCAAATCTTCTAAGTTCTTGTCCATCTAAAAGTATTTTTCAACTTGATCTTATATTTAAACAGTAGTACTACTGGTTCAAATTTTTAGATTCTTTTTCTTTAGTACTTTGAACATGCTTGTCAATTTTCTTCCATTGTTTGTGAGGCTTTTCATCTTTAATTTGGGAAAATATTTAGGTCAGTATTTCTTGAACTGGTTTTTGATGTTCTTTGAAAGCATTTCTAACTTTTTCCACATAAACATTGTACTCTGCCTCACATATCCATATTTTAAGAGTATTTATTATATTTAAGTTCATATTCTATCAGGCTTCATATTTTCGCTTTACTTTGGCATAAGCTTATTTGGTTTATTCTCCTTCTTTAATACCAGTGGAATTTTTATATACATATACATTTGTTTTTTAGATCCACTGACATTTTTACTGTGGTTTCTCCAAGGCTTTATGTTTTGGAGAAGCAGATTATTTCATTTTTCTAGTATCTAGAGTACACTTGTAGGAACTTGGAATATTCAACCCTTAAGTCTTTGTGTCACCCTCATTCTGAATAGAGTGGAAAAACTTTTCCTAAACATTTCTTCCTCCAAGGTTTCTTCTGTCAGGGGCTTCTACTTGCAGCCTTCCTCAGGCACCAGTACGGACATGCAGCAGAGGGGGCAACATTCCTTCCTTTAACATACTTCAAAATACAAAACTTAAGGATCAGTGACCACTGTTCCTACCTTTCTCACTGGTGACTGGCTCCATGCATACAGAATTTTCTTTCTGCACCTTTATTTGTAGCTTGGAAGAAATTATTATCAAAACTCACAGCAAATAGACAAAGCAAAGGAAATTCACTCTCTCTCTCCCCCCTCTGCTGGACAGAATACATTACAGTTTCAACTAGATTAAATACCTTAGGTGGAAAGCCAGTTGAACCAGGACATCCCTTTTTCCTTAAGGTTGGTGTATGGACTGGAAGTGGAGCTGAGTCTGCAGTCTGAACCCAGGGGCAAAAAAAGAGTAAATGTCATGGAATGCTCCATTTATTTTATAACTAGAAAGAAACCAAAGTAAATAAAACCAAACCAAATATCAGTAAGGTGACTAGTTCTACTAGCTAATCTTACTAAAGGTCTTATAGTATTGGTGGCTGAATTTTAGCCTGCAATGGTGATAAAGTATCTGTTCAATTTTTAAACTGTTTTAATAGAAATTTTAAAAATAATTTGGAATAAACAACCAGAATAAGTCATAGCATGCTGCCTACATAAAAACGAGTATTTTAATTTTCATTCATCTGTATTTTCCATGTTGATTTTAAGGCATTTTAAAAAATACTTCTAAGATTTTTTAAAATGGAAATTAACTGAAAATTTCAGTAGATTAGTGGGATTTTTGTGCAGAAACTTTTTTTTTTTTTTTGGGTCGGTCATGGGGCTTGAACTCTGGGCCTGGGCGCTGTCCCCCAGCTCTTCAGCTCAAGGCTAGCACTCTACCACTTGAGCCACAGCGCCACTTCCTGCAGAAATTTTTAAATAAGGGAGTCAAATTTTAATGTTATTGGGATACTGAACTTAATACAAGTTTAGTAATAACATATACTGGTATGAAAAAGTTTTATGTTGTGGAGTGCTATGTAAGATTTTATTTATTAAAAAAAATCACTGATTTTTTTAATGTTACTGTGTTTAGGTTAGCAAAATATTTTTAAAAAGATGAACCATATCTTCTTTTTCTGATGTTTAACAAGCAACAAAACTAAAACACTAACCCTGCATAAAGTTACAGAATATTTTAAAATACTGAAAGAAGAAATGGATGGTATTTCTTTGCCTTTGTTGCTATATAGCCTCTCAAAATAGAGTGTCCTCCACAGTCTTGAAATGGGATTCAGTTTCCTGCGGATTGTGTGCCAGGCTTTAATTTTATCTTTACTTTTAAACAGCCTGAAGTTTTGAGCCCAACCTAGAATTTAACATTTGAAAGGATAAATAGGACAGGTATGTCAGGAACACTAAAAATCCACATAAAATTAAAAAAAAATCATGATGAAACAGAATTGTAATCAGAATTTTATAGCAAGTCCAAGAAAAGTTACCAAAAATTAAAAGAATCAAACAAAGGCGCTAGACAATAAAATTTATAAAAACCAGCAACGCCTAGTAAGAAATCTATTAAAAAGGATCCCATTAATCAAGACAGCACAAAATTTAAGACACCTAGGAACAAATTCAGCAAACAGATGAAATACACTGAAAGCAATCAAAGGATGTAAGAAAATAACTAGGTAAGATGCACACAATGGAAACAGAAATGCCCACTACACGATAATGTCAAGTTTTCCTCAAATCTTTAAATTCAAAACAATACCACTCATAGAATTTGGTAAACTGTTTTAAAATGTAACATGGAAAACGGATAGTTCAAGAAATAAAAAGAGTGAGTGTGTGGGATGACTTACCACACCAAGTATGAAGAATAATTTTAGGGCTACAGTTAAGTAAGACAATGTGATAGCTGCAGAAATAAGCAAAAGCACATGGACAACAGCAGAGAACACCAATGGCCCAGGCATGTAAAGCAGAGTTAGACCTGCAAACCAGAGGTTTTTCATGCAGGAAAAGGATTAGACTGCTATTTCTCATGAGTCCTAATGATGAATTTCCATTTGACTAAAGTCCTAAACACAAAAAATAAAAATTTCTCAATTGCTGTAAAGGAAAGAACTGCTTTAAAAAGACATGAAAAGCAGGAGTCATAAAGGAAAGATCGATAAACCTGACTACTTCCAAATGAAGTTTTGCAGGACAGAAAATGAACCACGCATAAAAATTTAAAAGAAGCCACAGATTGGAAGAAAATATTTGCAATGAATATTGAGAGACAGAAAGAATTAGTACCCAGAATATGTAAAGAACATCTTCACAACAACAGGAAAAAAAAGTTGGAGAAAGGACATGAACAGGCAGATAAGCAATATCCAACAAACATACAAAAGATGACAAATAACATTAGAAACAGAGAAATTCAGGTTCAAACAAAAAGCATCACTTCTTAGGACAAAAGTGTATCAAGTCTGGGTAGGATGTGGGGAAAGGGGAACTCTCACAACTGCTGGTGGACATGAGAATGGTCCTGGCACTGGGGAAAACACTGGCAAGACCTGGCAGAAGGTCAAAGTTTAAGTATCATACAGCACAGGATTTCCACTTCTAAGTAGAAATGGAAACCAATCTCTGCACCTTTGCAAAAGCAGAACGGCCTTGAAATGTTTACTTGAGCACTACTTGTAGTAATGAAAACTTGGAAGCAAGCAGAGAACAGCTAAGCTGTGGCATAACCATACACTTCAACACTGCAAAGCAGTTCTGATGAAGCATGTGCACCCATACTGTGGGATGAAGTCTCAAAACTTATTTCGAAGCAAAAACAGTCACAGCAGGATGCAGGAAACAATGCAAACTCCAAATATAATGTGACAAGCATTGCTTCGTGTGGGATACAAATGCTATAAACATGTAAAAGCATGAAGGGAAGATGTGCACCAGCCTCAGGATATCTAGATGTGTCTGTAAAAGAAGAAAACAGAATGGGGGGGGCGCGGGGGAGTTTGAAAATAATCTGAAAAACAGGGCAAATACATTTTATTTGTTAAATCGGGAAGTGATAGTTACATGAGCTTATAATGTTTGAAATATTTTTTCATTAAAAATGGCATTAACCTTTAATAGCAAAAACAATTCTGACTACGACAATGAGCTCTCATGAACTACGCCCATCTGAGGGCTGGGCCACAGGCCAGAGCCTGACCACAGCTCAGGCTCCACTCCAGACAGCTCCCAGGGGCTTCAGCAACAGGGGAAGCCGGCTCTGGAGTCACGGGCAGGAGTGCAGGACCGCTCCTGAGCTGCCACGCTGAGCCATGGCCACACCTACATCTCCAGGTGGATGGCACAAGCTTGAAGCATACCATCTTCCTCTGACTTGTGCAGGCAATGGTCTCTGCTCAGAAAACGGGTCAAATGGTTGTTTAAAGTCATTGACTGGCATGAATTGTAGACATAACAACTTCTGTAATTAAAAGTCATGATTTATTGAGTTGGGTGAATGTTTGTGGTTGATTTCTCACTTAGAATGGCAAATTTATTTTTAAGCTGTGCTTATGATGTAACAGAGTAGTTATACTATGACTTCTTAAGTAGATTAGAAGAATTAAAACAGGAGAATGACATCTGCACAGCCATGTGCCTATTGAGATTCTACCACTGATATTTCTAAAATTTACATAAACCTACCCTTTGTTCACACATAATTAAAATAAAGATTGCCTTTACAGTTAATTTCTTTGAGTCATGGGAGCTAGTTTTTTACTTTTTTTTAAAACCCAATCCATATTATCAGTTAAGTGTAATGACCTCCAAATACTGTAACTTATATTCTAAACTGCATTTAATAAGACCAAATTTCACTTTTTCCCTCTCTTCATTTCCCTTTTTCCTGACATAATGTAAAGTCGGAGAGCAGGCTGCTCCAGTGAGGCACCTTAACTGGCTCAGCTTCACTAGATGTGGAAGGAGATGTGGACCGTGACTGGACGTGAAACTGGAGGCTCGAGTTCCGTACATAAGTGTTCTCAACGGGATCAGTCTAGGAAAATAAGTCAGGAAAAACAAAATCCCAAAAAATCACTTTGAAACAACATGCAGGCACAATTGTGACATAAGAAAGAGGAGAGCAAATGAGTCTGAATATTCATGTCAGGGATTTGTCATTGCACAAAAGCCCCACTAGCTTCAAGGTAAACAGGAGTTTAAGCTAACAACAGTAACTGAAGGCTTCCTCCCAATGTTTGCTGTTCATCTCCTGGCTGGAGCCCTGTTCTTCACTGCATGTCATTTACTTGTATCTCAACTGGAACTTCAGTATTTCACAAAACAAATCATGTAGGTTAAATACAAAATGCATGTGTGTGTATATGTATGTGTGGTATGTGTGTGTGAGAGAAAGAGAATGAGAGCAAGGGAGCGAGGGAGCAAGGGGAACGAGAGAGAGAGAGAGAGAGAGAGAGAGAGATTAGATATAATCTCTGTCCTTGCTAACACCCTGGACAAAAATTAAATTTGGTCTTTTACTAGCTGTTAACTAAAAGTAAAAAGAAACTAATATCAGCTTTGTGCTTGTCACTGAAGTCAATCCATGGTCAATCAGCGGTGGAAATGTTAGCTCTTATCTTCATTTACACTCTTGTAAACCAAGTACTTTTGGAAACAGCAAATGCTTTGAACTAAAACTTCCCATATGAGGTCTTATGAAGCATGTTCACTGACTATCTGCCCACTTTGGCAATTTAAAAAATTCCTATGATTGAGTTTAACCAAAGGAAATTTGAAGAGGTCAAGGAACTTGTTTGAACAATGCTCTAATCAAAGATTACCAAGTGATAAAAAGAGCATCAGATTAAGGATTTTAACAACACGACAACAATGTGTCATTAGAAGTGCGCTGCTGACAGATTCAGCTGCAGTCAGGAACGCTGTCTTGACAAAGCAGGATTATTAGAAAGTCACACGTGAAATTAAGTGAACAAGCTTTTAAATTTTCAGGTTGAATGATCAATGACTGGGAATGTAAGTATTTGAAATGGAAAGGATTTGATAAAGTTTTCCATTTCTAATAGAAAGCTTTCTGGCTCTCTTTAGAGCACAAGATAACTGAAAAGAACAAATTATTTTTTCAAAATGAGGACATTTGCTCCTGGACAATTAAATTCAAATGCTGTTTCAGATTTGTGCGACGTCACTCATATCGAACAGATCACTTCTGTTTAATATGGACAGTTTTCACAATCTGGCAAACACTGGAGTAGCTGACCCTCTTTAGTGCCTCCCTATAGCCACCCAGGGTGGTGGGCATGGTGCGCATGCCAGCAATCCACAAGGCAAGGCTTTCGTGGGGCCAACCAACACAGATGCCATCAAGCCTTATGCTTTCGGGTAA